CTAGTGCAGATAGCCCTCGTGTAGCTTTGCGCGAACTTGCAAACAAACCAAACCATTCACCCAGATCGTGTACTTAACCATTAACTGTAAGCATGGCCTTGTGACTAGTGTAGTGAGTTGTATATTGGAAGGTCCAAGGTTAAAGCATGTGATATGCCGCTGTGGACAGTCAACCCCAGAATGCGGTAAAAGGCAGCCCAGGTAGCAGAAAATGCTGCTGACTTGCTGTCCTGTCCTCTCTGGTTAATATTTCTAAATTAGGAACGGCTTTACCCATGTCGGCTATACCTTCACTATTACTATAAAATAATACTTTAGACATCTTCGTCATTATATTAGGTCGTCAAGAAATTAATGTCGCGTTTTGGAACACTTTCATTAACCGCTCCCAAAAAAACACGTAAATCACGTATAATAGTTAAACAAACCGCCTAAACGTCACGTTAGTGTGGCCTATATGACGTGTAAAGTTTAGTATACTCTAATCCCTTATAGTGATGGCACACGACGAGACACACATTCGGCATGTAATGCTGTTTGAATACAAGAAGGGAAACAACGCCTCTGTAGCCACAAATAATATCATGAAGTTTATGGAGATGTTTTGAACCTTCGTGAGTGTCAACGATGGTTTAGCAAATTTCATTCAGGTGACTTTAGCCTTAAACACTGTGATGGCAGGGGTCGACATTTTGGAATTGATACTGATGCTCTGAAGACGCTTGTTGAGTCTAACCCAAAGCAACACTCGTGAAATGGACCTGAAATTGCATATCTCTCATGAAGCAATACATAAATATCTAAGGAATATGGGTAAACTCCATAAAGAAGGTGTTTGGGTGCCTTACGAACTCTCCAATGATCATCGTTTCCAACGTGTGAACGTTGCTTCGTCTCTTCTGGCGCGTTATGCGCGTGAACCATTTTTGGACAGAATTGTCACCGGTGATGAAAAATGGATTCTCTATACGAATAATTAACGCCAAAAACAATGGCTCAGTTCTAGACAAAAACCACTTCCGACCCCAAAAACCCGG